TAAATATACAATTATTACATATAATGAGAATACATGAGAATATAATGCAATCATCCATAGGTACGCCCGAAGCATTGAAACTACAGATAATGAATGACCCGCACAGTCCGGCACAGTTCAGGTTTATCTTTTTGACAATTTTTTTTTTGACTAAATCTAACCAAGGATAGAGGTTAAATCTAATTATTTGACAGAGTCATCGGAACCCTTTCCAACTCCTATGAATTCGCTCAACAATTCAAATGTAAACCAAATTCTCGTATGAATCCGGATGCGGACAAGAAATGTGTCGTTTGGTGAACACATTGTACTTAAACTTATTTCATCCAGTTTACTTATAAGAGTCCATCTCTTATTTCAATATTTGATTCATTCATTTATTACTACATCGTGTCGATCATTTGTCAAGTTTTGTATTTTGTGATTAAAACGTTATTCAATGAATGGAAGAACTTTGTACGTTTGATACAGTATTTGGACAATACTTTAAAATTTTATCAAGTGATAAAGTTTTGGTGAGAAAGTGATGAAAAATGGATTTTCATAAATATTAGTTTTAAAAGTGTTTTTGAGTCAAATATTCATAAAACTCAACACTACTCCATCGATTAACTACTATTGTGTTGATTGTGTTCATTATATTCACGAATTAGTTTTTGTTTCAGAAATTCATATATAATTTATGTCTGTTTTGATATGAAGATCGCCTCATGTGTTGTTTCAATCAATACAGCCCTTTGATCATCAAAACTATAATTAATGTGTTATTTACTAAAATGTTCACAAATTCAAAAAATTTATGTATAAAAAATTATATAAAATAATTATTTTAAATCCAATCAGAGCTTGAATATCGTAAATAAATAATGTTTTATTTTAATCTTATCATTGATTATTACTTTTTATAAATACTGAATATTAAAAACAGTTTATAAATTCATTTAATTGGAGCATTAATTCTATAATTTGCTAAATATCTATAATTTTATTATTAAATTAATTTGGGGATTAAACTAATAAAATTACTGAATGACCAAGCTAATTCTTAAAATGACAAATTATGACACTATTATATTAAGTTATAAATATGGCAGATAATTTATGAAGTAATTATTAAACTTTTATATGGGTTTAAAAGTTTAGAATCTAAACAGTCAAATATGGTTATAAAATTTATATTTCATCAAAGGTGTTAATACTTTACAAAGTATTCTGTATTTTAATAATATATATAACAAATCTCAAAATATTAGTTAACCGTGCCATATAAAGTAATATAATTGTATATTTTAATAAAATCATTTATTAAAAATTATTAATAATAAAAGTTTATTGAATATTTTAAAATGAAAATATATTTACATTTCAATAAAATTATTATATCACCACTGAATTAAAAT